GCTGGCTCCAGCCCTGGAGCTCCTGCCTCTCCCCATCCCCTTCCCCATGTCCTCCGGGCTCTGCTGCAGGGGCTTTGCTGGGCAGAGCTACAAACAGCAGCATGGCAGGAGTGGAGATGGGATATCAGTGTCCCTCTGGTGCTGGACATCTCCCCACCCAGTGCTGCAGGGCCATGGCAGAGCTGGGCTGGGTTTCCAATGCCCAAGCACTTGGGGTGCCCCTTCCTCTGGGTGCCTGGTTGGTGCAAAGCCCTTTGGAGGAGTGAATGAAGGAGCAGGGCAAGGAGGGAGTGCAGGGGTTGGGGTCAGGATGGGATGGGATGTGATAGGAGGGCACGGCCCATCCAGGCTGGCAGAGGTTTGTGTGCAGCTGCTGCTTTTCTGGGAGGAGTTTTTCTTTCCTGCTGAAATCGAAAGTCAAACATGGCACTGGGTGACGGGGCCAAGCCGGCTCTTCCCCGGTTTTCACTTCCATTTTCAGAGGGTTGGCCCTCCTGGGCCGTCAGGTCGGTCTCCTGGCACAGCCAGGTGGCCGTGGAAGGGCTCGTTGTCCCCTCCCTCAGCTATGGCACTGTTTCAGTGTGCCTTTCCTTCTGGCTGGTGAGGGTGCAGCCCTTCTGTGCAGCCCCTCAGGCTCTGACACTGACCCTGCAAAGCCAAGTGTCCCCCACCAAGCTGGGGGGGCATTTCAGAGCGAAACCACAGCCCCCTCAGCCCACTCCCTCTGCCCCAGCACGCCCATATCGCCCCAGGGGTGTGTTGAGCCTCATAACCCTCAGCCTTGAAGCCATAAAATGAGTCAGGGATGAAGGTGGTGGCGGCAGCAGCACCACGTGGCCAGGGTGGGGGTCCCCGAGGACGAGGCAATGCCAAGCTGGGTGGCAGAGGCTGCCAGCACCCACCTGCCACTGGGACCAGTGGGAGGGACCCCTGGAAGGGGCTGGGCAGCACGGGAGAAAGAAAGGGAGCAGATTAAACTGGGAGAAGCCACTTGGTGGCTGGCGTGGGGCAGGATCAGCCCTGCTGAGTTATCCCTGCGGCACAGACACTGCCCAGCCCGTCGGCAGAGGCTGCCAGCACCCACCTGCCACTGGGATCAGTGGGAGGGACCCCTGGAAGGGGCTGGGCAGCACGGGAGAAAGAAAGGGAGCAGATTAAACTGGGAGAAGCCACTTGGTGGCTGGCGTGGAGCAGGATCAGCCCTGCTGAGTTATCCCTGCGGCACAGACACTGCCCAGCCCGTCGGGGACCGGCAGGAGCACGGCACAGCACAGCCCTGCCAGCTTATCTCTGATCTTTAGGCAGGGCTAGCTAGTGCTTGCAAGTGATTTAATAGAAATATGCTGTAGGCTGTGGTTTCTAGTAAGTAAACATGTGCCTTTAATGCCCCACATGAAACAAGGAGCTGCCAAGGAAGTTGCTGCATCTTTCAGGAAAGAGCTCTGAGGAAAGAGCTTACTAAGGCTCCAGAAATCCTTGGTGGCTCACTCTGTCATGCTCCAGTGTTTCCCTTAGCTGTGGTAGTGCCAGAGGGTTTTCTCCTCGGGGTCCAGTGTCTGGAGGGTCTTTTCCAGTCATGCACAGTCCAGGTGCAGTGCTCTGGGGCTAAACACCCCGTGAAAGGAGCCGGGGCTGCGGGCGAGCAGCGTGTGCTTGCCTTGAGCTGTTTGACTTGTGCAGCCGAGTGTGGTGTAACCTGGCCTTGAAGAGACTTTGAAAGTGGAAAATACCGGATCAGGAAATATGAGTCACTCCCGGGCTTTGGAATTTATTGATGGATTTGTTTCAGTTGCTATCTCCGACTCACATGTGGAAAATAAACAAGGTGCTCGGAGCTGGTGTCCAGAAATGTCACCTGAAGGGCCACAGGGATGGCTCTGAGTTGGGATCGAGGTCTCTCAGTGTGAGAGGGCTAATGAGAGGGATTAGGAGAAGGTACAATAATTAAAGAATTAAGGCACTTAGCCCCCACTGGTCCTGGGGACCAGCTCCAGTCCTGGCAGCACACACCAAGTGCCTTTGTGCCTGATCCCTAAATCCTGGCCCGAAATCCTGGGCTCTGGCTCTGGCTGAGCACACCCACCCTGTCTCACCAGTATCCTGCCAGCTTGGTGACTGAGATCACCACCATGAGGCCCTTTTTATCTGCTTTTTGTCTCTTTTCTTCACCTTCCCAAGTTCCTGTGTCCCACTTTCCCCTACAAGTGTGACAGTTAGAAGTTAATGAGTGTTGAGAGTCCTCAGTTGTCCCCAAGGGCCAGAGCCTGGGGAATAAAATGGCCAAGGCTCAGGATATGCCATGTCCTGGTGCTGTGCTCTGATGGAGCTGGAAGCCAGTGCCAGCACAGTCCTTCCCTGCTGCTGCTTTGCTGTTTATTAACACGAAGTTGAGGTGCCTCAGCAGGGTCTGCACCCCAGGGCGGTGTGGGCTGTGCCTGCTCACCTCTGGGAGGGGGCTTTGCCGATCCCCCCCAGTCTCCCTGCTGAAGTGGAGGGGGGAGCACCCCTTTGGCTGTGCTCTGACAGTGCCTGTCCCACCTTCCTCTCTGGCAGATCTCCGTTTCGGGGGGTGGGCTGCCCCCGGTGAGCACCCTGACCAACATCCACAGCCTGTCCCACCACAACCCGCAGCAGTCCCAGAACCTCATCATGACGCCGCTCTCGGGAGTCATGGCCATCGCACAGAGTAAGTGCACCCCCAGCTCACCTCCACCCCCCCTCCCGTGATGGGGAGGGGGACACTGCCTGCTCCTGCCTGCACTGACGACCCCGTTGTGCTCTCTCCCTCCTCCCAGGCCTGAACACCTCGCAGGGGCAGAGCGTGCCCGTGATCAACAGCGTTGCTGGCAGCCTGGCAGCCCTGCAGCCCGTGCAGTTCTCCCAGCAGCTCCACAGCCCCCACCAGCAGCCGCTGATGCAGCAGTCCCCCGGCCACATGACACAGCAGCCGTTCATGGCCACCGTGACCCAGCTGCAGAACTCTCACAGTAAGGGTCGGGGGGAGCTCTGGAGGGCCCTGAAAATTAACTCAGATGGGAAACAAGCTTGTGCTCTCCTCGTGCTCTGCCCTGCCCAAGCTGGTACCCCTGGCTGCTGCCCCTCTCCCGTGGGTACCAGCCCACGAGATGCTCAGTAGTGTAGGGTGGTCATATCCAGCCTCACGCTCTCCTTCTCCTGTGCCATCCACCTGATCCAGCCGCAGCTCTTCAGTCCCCTCTCTTTCCCCGAGTGAGCTGCTGCTTGGGTGAGCTGCCACCTGAGAATGCAGTGGTTTGGAAGCAAGTGGTGGGTTCCTCCCATGACTTGTTTCATCTCATCCCTGTTTCCATGATGCCTTGAGCTGGTGCCTGGCTCTGCTGTGCTGTGCCGTGCAGAGCACTGCTCTGCCCTGCTGTGACGGCAGTGGGGGGCTGTTCCCTGACTTGTCTCCCTCCTCTCCACAGTGTATGCACACAAACAGGAGCCTCCCCAGTATTCCCACACCTCCCGCTTCCCCTCGGCGATGGTGGTGACGGATACCAGCAGCATCAGCACACTCACCAATATGTCTTCCAGTAAGCAGGTAATGGCCTTGCAGAGGTGGCTGAGGTGGGTGGGAGTGGGAAGATGGAATGGGGCTTTTCCCCCTCTGGGCATAGGGGTGGAAGTAGCAGAGACCCCATCCTGCTGCCTGTGCTGCACCTGCATGGGCATCTGAGGATGAGCCCTTGGTGCTGAGAACCCCATCCCACACCCTTCACGGGCTCCAAAAAACCTGCTTGCGAGTGGCGTGATGGGGATTTGGGGCTTAGTCTTAGTGCCTGGTGGTACCAGCCAGGCTGTGCTCATCCCTGGGGCACCTGCATGAGAGTGGGAGCATCCTGCTGGGATACAAACTGGGCTGAGAAAGTCGGACCAAGCACATTCTGCTGCCTGTGTCCTGGGGGGATTGACCCTGGCTGGAGTCAAGTGGAGGAGTTGTTCTGATGTGCCCTGACCCCCCAGCCCATAAACCTTTATCATCTGCCCAGTGCAGGTGTAAGACCGGACTTATCCTGGTTCAAATCAGGTGTGCGAGGCTTTGCTCAGACAATAGTCCCTTTCTGAGAGCCAGCTCTGGGGACTGTGGGAAATATGTGGCCCTTATTGATCGCTAGATAAATAAGAGGGAGCCTTGAACTTGCATTCAGATAAACTTTCTTACCAAGGTTTGACAGGGGACAGGAAAAAAATGTCTGCAATGAGCACAGAGTAAATACAGTGTGGGATTGCTGGGAGACCCCCCGTGGGATTGCTGGGAGACTCCCCCCGTGGGATCACTGTGAGACCCCCTCTGGGTGCCCAGCGGGGATGAAGGAAGGGGCTGGGGCTGCAAAGGGGAGACACTGGGAGAGGGGCTGCCCAGAGGGGTCTGGGGGGCTTGGGAAGGGATGATAAACCCCCTCCCCCAGGGGTCCCACGCTGTGCAGGTCTCGGGGTGAGTCGGTCAGGCATGGCCACCCCTCCAGCACCATTTCCTCGGCGCGGCGTTATCGGCCCATCTGCTGCGCGCTCAGCCCGAACTGCCCCTGATTAATCGAGCTCTCCTGCCTTTGATGCCGGGCTGGAGAGCCCTGGGCACACAGGAAATGTCCCTGGCAGGGAGATGGTGCCCTGCCCGGATGCCGTGCTCGCCCTGCCTGGACACTGTGCCGCCCGGGGTGGGGGGTCCCGCGGGTTTGTCCCTCCTGGGCACTTTAGTTAAAGCAGGAGGAGGTCTCGCGGCTCAGGAGGGGGAAAATGGGGTCAGGACCCTTTCTCTGCTGTGGCAAAGGGGCACCCACCTCCCCTTTGTCCCCCCTGTACATGATAAACAAGCACAGGCCAGTCCTGCAAGTGCCAGGGCAGAATCTGTACCCCCACACAAGTCTCCTGCCCAGCGAAGTCTCCCAGCCCTCAGGGTCTCTTTTCCTACCAACCATTTGATGTCCAGGTTAAATCTGGAAAAATTTATCTTTGACCATTGATTTCTTTCTCAGTGGTCATTGATTTCATTAGCAAGGGGTGAATGAAAGTGCAACAGAGACAGCTGAGGGGGGACTAAATGCTGCTTACTCCCCAGAGTGGCTCAAATACCTGAATAATTTTGGTGATTTGGATGCTGGGGGCCATCCCCTGGCTCCTTCCACACTTTGCCTCGGCATAAAGCAGGCACTGCTGGGCACAAGGATTCCTGACATGACAGGCTCATCTGAGGTGGCCAGAGAGGCCAGAAGGGTCACTTGGATCCCCAGGGAGTTGCAGTTTTCGGGATGCAGTTTGCTGGGCAAGGGCTGGTGCTGCTGGTGGGAGCACCCAGGTAAACCCTGGGGGTTCACAGCCCACGTGAGACCCCAAATCTGGGGGGTGTGCTGCTGCTCCCTGAGCACCCCCCTCTTTGCTAGAGGAGAGGCATTCTCCCATAAAGCAAAGCTTCCGTCATTCCCAGCAGCAGTTCTGTACCCACAGCCCCTACCAGACCCCAAAACACTCTCTGTGGTGGAGGTGGCTGCTCCCAGTCCTGCCACGGGACAGAGGCTGGAGGGAGGTCCCTGGTCACCCCCCAGCTCTCCCCTCACATGCTGTGGATCTCTTATCAGATGTTGTTATTTAGACCTGGAAGGAGCAAATACCTCCCTGTTCCTTTGACAACGCTTGAGGCCGAGCCACCATGTTTATTACGTTGGCAAACACCTGATAGCCACAGCCCTGTCCCTAATGACATGTCAGGGAGGCTCCTGGCGTCTCCTTATCTCCGCCTCATGATGTTTGCTGTGTGCTCCAGCCCACAAGGTCACCCGGCCCCCAGCCCCCCACCCACTGCTGGCTGGGGGGACCCCGAGGGATGGGGAAGGGGCCGCTGCGGTGGGATGGACGTGGTGGTGGGTGCTCAGCTCCTTCCCTGGAGGTGGCAGCAATGCTGGGGGACAGAGATGAGGCCCCGGCCCCACTCCCACCCCAGCCAAGCTCAGCCTCACGCCGGGCCGCTCTTGGCACAATCTCTGCAACAGCCTGGGCACAATCAGGCCCTTTTTTATTATTTTTGGGAGGGGGTGGCAATAGCTGGCTCAGAAAGTGTTTTCCCACTGCCTCCCCCTCGGGGGTGCTGGGGAGGGCTTGGGGCCGAGCTTGTGTGGCACCAGCGAGGTCCAGGGAGGTGCAGGAGGCGGCCAGAGGTGCAGAGGTGATGCCTCCAAATCGCAGTGCCCCCACGACCCCCCTCCGCGGTGCTGCCCTCTCCTCCTCCTGCCTCCCTCCCTGCCTGCCGGTCACCCTGCCGCTCTCTCTCTCCCTCCACAGTGTCCCCTGCAAGCCTGGTGATGCTCCACACCTCGCTGCTTTTGCACATAGCAACGGGATCTTATTTTCCACAACATCCCGGAGGCGAGCCGCGCTCCGAGCCCGGGGAGCCGCCCGCCAGAGCACAGCCCAGCGCCGCAGCGAGGAGCCCGGCAGCCCGACCCGGAGCCAGCCCGGACCCAGCCTCTCCTTCCCTCCACACAGTATTTCCAAGACGTGTCTTGGGGATTTTTTTATTCTTAAGTATTCGCCTTCCAAGAGGCCGCTGGCTTTCCCGAGGGACCAGGCACGAGCTGTGCTGGGAACAGGCAGAAGGGGAAGATGGATCATATTGAAGTTGTTTGTACTCCTCCACCCGACGGACTGAGGGGGACTGGGGTCTGTTACTTGGCGTTTGGAGGGAGGAATTGCATGTGCTGTTGAACTGAGCCAATTGAACTGTAAATAGAGGTACAGTCTGCTCCATCCTCCCCCCTCCCCACTCCTATACACAGAGATTTATATAAAAAAGAAGTAAATTTTGTCCAATGGATGTAAACTACTGTAATTAAGTGCAATTCCCCATCTGTATATATTGGTCCAGAATCTCTTCTCTTTCTCCCATTTGTTTTTTGCCTTTTTTTTTTTTTGGTAAAGGTCAGAGCTGAGGATGGGTTTGGTTTTGTATTTCTGTTTTCCCTTTAAATGAGTGAATTCAAATGCTGGGCCTAGGCAAGGGCACCGCTCAGGCAGCACTGGGCTCTGCTCTGCAGGAGGACAGGCAGACACGTGTCCCCTGCACGGTGACATCCCATGAGAAGGAAGGGCACAGGACAAGCTGAGCAGAGCTCTGGCAGGACCTGGATGATCCATGTGGGGAAAACTGCCACTACGACTTTCCTGCTTTTGAGGACTCTCAGACGGACTCTGGTGGGGTGGGGGAGGACTCAGCAGCCTGGTGAGCACATCCAGCCTGTGGGGAAGTGTTCAGCGTTGGCAGTTTCCAGGTGAGCCTGTAGCATTTGGTGCTACAGAGGTGAATGAGGCTGCAAGAAATTCTGGTGGAATCTTCCTCAGGTGGGGTTCAGAGACTGTCTCCCTTTAGTCCTCCCTCGGGGTGCAGAAGGGTTTGGGTGCCCAGCTCCTGCCCCAGTAAATGGCCAGTACAGGTGGCTTCTTTCCACCTTTAGCAGTTGGTGATGAGCCTTGTTGTCTCCACCCTCATCAATACACACGGTGCTCTCGTCCTGGAGCAGTCCCCACCGAGGTGCTGGATGGATGGGATTTGGGCTGTGGTGTGAACACTCCAGCTGCCTGCCCTGTCTCACCCTGCAGCAGCTCCTGGATGAAAAGCTCCACAGCAAGATCTCCAGCTTGTGAATGATCCCACATCCCAGCCCCTCAGGCACCTGCTGAGCACAGACACCAGAGCCCTGAAGGATTCTGGGGGCCCGAGTCCTACCTCCCAAAGCCACGGAAGCTGTAAAAGGCATCATCTCCCCACCGTGGAATGAGCTCCTCTGTACCTGCTCCCCTCTGGGAACGGATCTAATGCTTCCCAGTTGTGCTGAATCTTCATGAACTTCACAGCGTGTGCCAACTGCTGAGAGGGATTTAGAGAGATGGAGAGCAGCAGAAGTGCCCGTGGACTGATGACCACTGCCAAAAAGAAAAACACCGGATGATTTCTTTGGGCTGAGAAAGTCTCTTTGGCTCTGTTTGTCCAATGTCTAGTGCAGTGGGACCCTCACCCACACTGGGACTGAGAGGAGTTGTCCTATGGTGAATAAGAAGTCATCAGGAATTGGAGACCAATATTCAGAATGACATTTAATTTAATGTATACCATAATTAAACACCATTTCTTCCGAGTCCTTGCTGCTGTGTGGTCTGTAGACTCCACAGTCATCACCTGCGGTGGCTTGGCAGAGGTTGGTCTGGCAGGGACACAGGCTGGTGGCAGTGACATGTCCCCCTGATGTCCCTTGCAGTGCTGATCTCTGCAGTTTTTACCTGCCTGGATGTGGGGAATCAAGTGTTTCCTGTGAATCCTCGGGTATCAGCCAAAAGTAGCAGGAGGCTCTGGGAGGTGGGGAGACCCGTGTCCTCACCCTCCTGACGATGCCCTAAGGATGCTGCCCTTAGTCCAGCACAGTTTATTCCTCATTCTCTGCTAACTTTAGCAGCAGTTTGTTAAGCAAACCAATTAGGACCTGAGTGCCAAAGCCAAGCCCCATCCGTTTTGGATGCTGAGCTGGTGGTCAGTAAAGCACGAGGGGCAGGCAGGAGGGTGTGCTCTGGTGGCTGAAAAGCTTTTGAAGACCTTTGATTGTAAAGAGGTAACAGAGCTGAGTGGCTCCGAGCACAGCAGTGGGAAAGGGTGGAACCCTGCTTAAGATACAGTGCAGGGCAGGTGTGGGTTTAAAAATGCCTTCAAAAATGGCTGGTTTTGGTTTGGCACTCATGTTTTTCAGAAGTTTAGTGTGGGCTGCTGTGGGAAAGGTTCTCGGGCAGAAATCTGGCGCTCACCCTTACAGCTGGAGCAGGACACCCCAATAAAAACATTCCCATGGAGTATGTTTGTGAATTTTAGCTGCCCCAGACAAAAACTGGAGTCATGAAGACTGCTCAGTCCCTTTCAGGCAGATGTGGAAGTGATGCTCTTTTTTAGCAAAAGTTGGAGAGACAAGATGTGTGTTTTATTCTGAGATCCTCTTGGCACTTTCCTGCTCAGCAAGTCCTTTCCAAAGCCCCTGAGTGCCAGATAACCTGCTGCAGCTGAGCTGATGCCCCGAGGGGAGTGCTGCCTTCTGGGGTTTGATTTCTGCACCAGCTTTAAGAGAGTCACAGGCTGAAAGGGTGGAGCTCAGGGTGTGAAAGCTATGTGTGAAGCACTCTTGGATAAGTGGTTCAGGAGCAGTGCTGCTCTCCAGAAAGCTCTGCAGGGAAGGTAAGTGGAAACCTTGGGAAAAGGAGACTTTGAGATTTGACCCCACTAGAGAGGGACCTGGTGAAGGAGGGGGGACTGAGCCAAAAGAAAACTGGGGAAAAGGGCATAGGATCCATCCAAAGACACAGGTGGAGTAGGTGACTGGAGCAGAGTGTGATAAAGCAGACAGGATAAAGCCGATAACGTGAGTACAACAAATGATTAAGAACAGATGGTACTTTCCCAAATTCACTTTTGTGAATTTATGAAGTTGCCCAACAGTGTGTTTTGTGCTGTCACTCACCCTGAATGGCAGGAGATGGAAAGGGAGAAAGCCCCGTGGATTGCTAAGGATGCTGTGGGTGCTACACATCCCTTCATGGGGAGAAAGGATCCCCGATTTGGATTTAACCCTCTGGCTGAGAAAACCTTTCTGGGTGGTAAATACCACCCCAAACTACTTTCCAGAGCAGCCTCTGCAGCAGCTGGGCTTGGGCTGTCCCCGGCCAGACCTCACCCTGCTGGGAGAAGCCCTGGGTGGGGTGTTTGCTCCTGCAGGTTCCCTGGCTACCTCATTAAGTTGTTGGAAAATACAGTGCCATGTCAAATGAGGCTCCTGGAAGGTATTTTTTTCCTCCTGTTGTTGTTGGGCACGTTGTGTTTGCGCGTGATGCAGTTATTATGGAGCAAAGAAACCAGCAGAGCCATGACAAAGTTCATTTATGGCCAATACAGTTTTACAGAGCCAAGTGATTGTTTTACAGTTCAAAGCTGCTTATAAGGGAATTCCTTGCACGTGAGGATCCACAGGCTGCCATGAGGCTTTAGCAGCCTGTCTTCATGTGAACTGCAGGCTCCTTCCTGGCAGGGCAAAGGGACAGGGCTGCATTTAATTTGAAGTGCAAGTGTGAGTGCAAAGGAAAAATCCCCCAAATCCCAGCGTGGCCAAGGCCAAGGGGTAACAGTGAGGGTCAGGGCTGTAGTGGATCTCTGCACAGGCTGTGGGTCAGGGGAAGGGCATGGGGAAGCTCTGAAAGGTGTGAAGGTGGATGTGGGAGGGCTGGGCAGGAGCGTGACCTCTCCTTTACCTCCAGTCGTGCACAGCCGGTGACACCTGCCTGGTGGGTAAATCCCGTGCCCTGACTGCCTCCTGCTTGTACTGCAGCATCCTCAGTGCTGCCAGCAAAGTCACTGGGTCAAAACCAGCTGAGCCACCCTCTCCACGTGCCCCAGGGGCCATGACAAGGCTTTATCAAACCATGAGCAGGAGCCCTCGGCAGGGGCTGCAGCCGTGCCTGGGGACTGGGGCTCCGTGGTGTGTGTCACCTCTATCACTGCAGGAGGAACAGAGCCAGGGAAACCCTGTCCAGGGGAAACACTGTGTGCTGGCTGCTGGCCGAGCTCTGGGGCACCTGGTGCTGCGGCCCCTGTCCCCAGGTGCTTTACAGCAGCCTGGTGAGGGTGAAGACCTCACTGCCAGGGCAGTGCTGGGACCCCACCGCCATCCCAGGGCTCTGGTGCTGGCTGGGCTGCAGCCAGGCCAGCTCACATCGTCTGGCAGGAAACATGGATTGCTGAGGAAGTCCCAGGTAATCCCTGTGGGGGAGCAGATGTCCTGCTGGCCAGGAAGGCACCAGCCTTTCCAAACTCACCGAAGTACAAGGAGCAATTCCAGCAGCTTTACTGAGCGTGTGGGTAACGCGCAGTTGCGCAACAGCTCCGGCTCAACGCGCGGGCTTTCCAGACTCGTTCTGCCAGTCCAGCCAGATGGCTGGATCTGCTGGAAATCTCAGCAGGAAAAGCAGCAGCAGTGGTGTGGGGCTGTGCAGAGGCTGGGGCTGTGCTCCCCACCGGTGCATCCCGCGCACGGCTGCCCAGCACTGCCGTCCTGCGCCACAGGTCAAAAGGGAAAGCATTGTCATTCCCTGCGGACAGCAAACAGGCTCTGCCCTTTGAAGCCTTTGAGAGGATTCGGTTGGGCTGGTGGCGGAGTTTGAGGAGTACACAGAGGAATGCAGAAAGTGCTTGTGTTGGGAGGCCGGGCTGTTTGCAGGCGCTGCCAGCTCCTCGCTGCGGTCTGGCCGCGGGAGCAGGTACGTGGAGCCGGAGGAATCCCTGTGCCGGGGGTGTGGTGTTGATCCTGACTCCTGCTGCCATGGGGTGTCCATGATGTGCTCACAGGAGGTCTTCACAAGTCCATGAAAATGTGATGGGGGCAGAGTTGTGAGCCATAAAGACCAGCAGAATAGCACTGTAAGAGTTTACTGTCCTGAACCAATGCACTGCGGACAAACACTTTAAAATGCACTCAGTGTCCAGAGAAAACCTCTCTGCCTGCTCCAGTGCATCTCTGATTGCTCCTGCAGCTCCAAGTGCCGTGGCTTCCACACCTGCTACTGCACTGCCCTGCACTGGCCTCCCCCAGCAGCCAAGGGACCTGCAAATCTGGAGCTCACCAGGGAGCCTTGATATCCTGATATCCCAACCCTCTGCCATGACAGGCCAATGTGTGCAGTGCTCCACATCCCCTAGGGATGAGCCAGGGCTGCCTTTCCACCTGTGAGCACCAGCAGGTCCATCCCTGCACACCCACCACAGCAGTCCCAGCAAACCTCCTGAGCTGCTCCACACCCTCTGCTCCCTAAAGGTCCCTCACAGGCAGACGCCCAAGTCTCTCACTTTCCTTCCCCCTGTGAATGTGACGAGATCTCCCACACGGAGGAGATGGGCAAGACACCACCCTGGGTCCTCTGGGGACTAGGGACGGACACTTGGAGGAAGGAAGGAGTCTGGTTTCACTGCGTGTGGTCAGGTTAAACACCTGGTGCGAACAGACTGAGCCACGGACTGTAGCACACGGTGGGTAAACGGGTAAATGAAAGCTCAGGGTTGATGTTCCCAGGGGCTGCAGGGCTTGGCTGGCACAGGGAGCACCTTCATTTAATCCTGGAAGGTCCTTTCCCCCTGCTGCAGGTGGTGGGAGCCTGGCAGGTCCTGGTGCAGCCCTGGGGCAAAGGAGCAGCACAATGGGCTCAGCAGAGCCAGAACGGGAGCGCTGTGGGAGCCACCAGCAGTGGCAGGCTCTGATAAAACCCCCTGGATTTTATTTCTCTGACCCAGGGATAAAACTTGAAAGTCAAAAAAACCCCTAGAGTTGTTCTGTCCCAGTGTAGGTGTAATGCAGAGCCACACAAACCCTGAACCTCAGGCGTTCTATGTTACCTTCTAACTCAAGGAACTTTGGTTTTACTTTTCTATTCAGCAAAATTAATTCTTCTCTCTGTAATTAATATGCTGCTCAAATGGAATCTTAATTACAGATAAATCACAAATCTACACACTCAACTGTTATGCTTTTCAAGTAATAAAACAGATCATTTGTCTTCCTCAGATGAACAGAGCCCAACCAGCACACCATTTCCCCCTTTATGAAGAATTCATTTGCCTTAGAAAGAAAATCTTTAAAAAAACATTGCAAGGATTTCTTAAATAGGGGATCAAAGCTCCCACACTGCTGGAAACCATTTTTTGCTAAATAAGATGTGAGTAAAGGGGAAAAAAAGTAAAAGTTTTTTCGTAGCGGTCGGGATTACAACACCCTCGGGAGGGACGAGGATGTGGGGTCAAGAAGTGGTGACCAGGTTAAGCAACACAGGGAACAGAAGGGGACGACAAAGGAACAGAAAGTGGAAGTGGACAGATGAATGAGGACGCATGTTTCTGTGCCGCAAGAGAATGGGGGCTACATCAATTCCTACTGAGAGCCGGGGCTGAGGGCTGGTAATGGATCGGGGGACACAGCAGGGATCAGAGGTCACCAGTGCGCCCAGCCAGGCTAATTGACTGTTATGTGCATATTAGTGATGATGATGTAGCAGGAGGGCGGGACGTGGGGGGCAGATGTGCACGAGTCCCGCTGCCCTCTAATTCCTGCCTCACACC